AAAAAAAAAAAAAAAGAATCTGTAGCTGTTTAAGATTAAACAACAATAACAGCCCAGTACTGGTGGCTCACACCTGTAATCCAACTCAGAGGCTGAGATCTGAGGACTGTAGTTAAAAACCAGCCTGGGCAGTAAAGTCCATGAGACTAAACTACTTAGAAAAAGCTGGAAGTGGCGCTGTGGCTCAAGTGGTAGAGCACTAGCATTGAGCACAAAGAGGCTCAGGGAGAGTGCCCAGGCCCTGAGTTCAAGCCCTTCAACCGACAAAAACAACACACAAAAACCAAACCAAACAAAAAACCTGCAACTCACCCACTCAGGCATGCTAACATTTCAAGACCTGATAGCCACAAGTGGCTCAAGGTTGCCCTGATGCACAGCAGAGATAAAGTTGTACACAGCCCCTATCTGAAGGGCTCTTAGGACTACATGATGGTTATTGCCTTTTTCTAAGAACTTTGTGACTCACAAATAAAAGGAGGAAGGGTGAAAAAAATGCAGTCATTATATTCAGTGTTTATGAACTACAGAACTTGAGGGTAGGGATGAGAAGGGGGGAAATGGGAGAGACCACTGATCAAGATGCACTGTACTGCCAGGCACCAGTGATCCTAGCTACTCAGGAGGCTGAGATCTGAGGATCAAGGTTCAAAGCCAGCCTAGGCAGGAAAGTCCTTCAGACTCTTATTTCCAATAAACCACTAGAAAATTGGAAGTGGTGCTGTGGCTCAAGTGGTAGAATGCTCGCCTTGAGCTGAAGAGCTGAGGGACAGCACCCAGGCCCAGAGTTCAAGCCTCATGAGTGATCTCCCCCACCCCCCCAAAAAAAGATGCATTGTACTCATAACTTTGACTTCTGAAACTGAAATCCCTTTTACAACTATTTAATAAAAATAAGCATTTTTTTAAACTATGAGAGATGACTTTGAAAAAAATTCTAAGCTGGGGAAAAAAAAAAAATTCTGTGCCCATTCAGTTGCTGCTAGCACCAGAGACAGAACATGGGCGTAGATGGGAGGTTCCTGTGTGTCCTTTACTCACAGAGCACTTCCTCCCTCAACCCACTGCCTGTCACTCACTGAAGACAGGCTCAACCCAGGCCAGGTAGAGAAGCCCAACTAAAGCTGGGCCTTAGCCTATCCTACCTCTCTGGAGACAAATGAGCCCCTTCTCCTTAGATGCAACTTCCTACATTCGGCCTGCAGCATGGAACCTCAGAAATACAAAACAAAGCAACTAGAATCTATACGGCTTGAGTGAATCAAGGAAAATGGAAATGTCAAGACAATGAACACCAAAGAGGCGAACCACTACAGGTCCTAAGATACACATCCAAGTCTGCAAGCAGAATGTCTGCCCAGCCCAACTGTGGGCACTGACCCATTTTTCATTAGCCAGCTGGGCAGAACACCATAGCCCACAGTGGCTACACATTGACAGACTTGGTGCCAGGTGCTAAGCCTGCACATCTCACCTAAAACCCAAGGAAAGGACAACTCCCACATTACATGAGCCAGGATGGAGTCACTTGATAAATGAAATATACTAAGCTTACCAGGCGCCAGTGGCTCCTGTCTGTAATGCTAGCTACTCAGGAGGCTGAAATATGAGGATCTCGGTTCCAAGCCAGCCCAAGCAAGAAAGGCCCATGAGACTCTCTCTCCAGTTTACCACTAGAAAACAGGAAGTGGTGCTGTGGCTCAAAGGGGTAGAGAGCTAGCCTTGAGCAAAAAAAGCTCAGGGACAGCTCCCAGGCCTCCCAATGACTAAAAAAATACATAAAAAATATCTATACATCTGTATATCCCTGGCTCTAAAAGGAAAGGAAGAGCAGAAAAGGGTTTGATCAGCCTACGAATGTGAATCAACTCTCCCATATGGACAGTTGGAGCCAGCTGGAGTAGACTCTAAACCCTTCATGTCCATCTACACCTCATCCACCTGGATTCACAAATAAGGCATATTCCTTCAACAAAATGGCATAGCAGGGAAGGATATGCTGATGACCCCACAGCAACCCTAGGGAAATGGCTGCCTAACAAATGCCAGGGTGGTGACTGCATAGGTAGCAGAAAATTGTCTAACCCCCAAATATCAACATCCCAGGCCACCCTACATCATGATCAGATGAAGATCAAGCACACCTTCACATGATTATAAAAACAGGAACTCAGGAACACACGGCTATACTCACATTCCGACAATCACGGAGAACTCAGGGATGCTCAGGGGCCCTGAGAGTGACACCAAGCAGCCCAAGTAAGATAGTCTGTCTGTGCGCTGGTCCAGGCTGGCACACAGGTGGAAGTACACACAGTATACAATCTGTGCTTTCCTAGATGGGCAAGTGTGCCTCAAAGATGCCGCAGGACAAGTGGTACTCTGTCTGATGTGCTGGCTGCCAGTATGCTGAATTTTGGACAAGAATTCAGGTTACAGCTCAGAGTCTGATGTTCTTCATTATAAATACTGTTGGTTCCCTAGATTTAATGGAGTGGAGAGAAAAATCAACATGCAAGCAGCTATCAATTCGCTATTTTCACCCCTCCTATTTTAGTATAGACCAACACAGTCTGTATCTATAGAACGTTCAGCAGTGATGGTAATATTCTCCAGTATGTCCAATATGGTAGACACTAGCCAAAAGTGGAGACTGAGCACTTAAAATGTGATCAATGAGATTGTAGAGTGGAATTCTTCACTGTACTTATTTTAACTTAAATGTAATCACCACATGTGACCAGTGGCTATTGTTTTGCTATGGTAGTTCATTCAGTTTTAATGCAAGAGCAATTCCTACATTCAAGAAGCAGATAAAGCAAGACCCCAGAATCAGAGGAAAAGGACTACAAGCTAGCCAAAGCCTAGGGACTAGAGTCTAGGGCCCCAGACAGATGTACCAAATTGGCCAAAGCACTGCCCTGTTCCAGCCCCTGCCCAGACCATTCAATTCCTTCAGTTTCAGCCTGAGGCAGACTCTCCTACCAGGTGTGATCCACAGCTTTGGTAGTGCTCTTAACTTGGGAGTTGAAACTTGAGTCAGCTTGAATGTGACACGGAACAAAGTCATTTAGAGCCATAAACAGCCTACCTCCAGCCTTGGAAGCCAGTAACACTCAGGCCCCATATTCTCTGGTGCTAGGCAATCAATTAATCTAGCCTACTCCACCCAAACTCACCTCCCCTTAGTGATAGTGAGCTGGAATGGAGGTGTGCCTCAGTCAGCTCCCCAGGCAGGAGGCAGGTTCATCCCGGGAGGATCTTAGGAGAGGCTAAGGGTAGTGACTTCGCACAGAAGCTGGCTAGGGGATCTTACAGCCAAGGCAAACAGAAGGTAGCCTCCAGCCACTCTCCACATTATCTGGAAGGAGAGCAGATGGCGACTCTCAAGCCACAAAACAAGAAACCCCACTGCTGGCTGACACACAGAATCTACATGGCTGAGTAGAGCCTTCAGTTCCTGGCCGAAGGTTGCAACCTGAACACTTACAGAGCTAGGCAGGTAACGACAATGAGTCAAGCTGTCAGGTGAGAATGATGAACAACTAGAGAGCACTGGCCCTGACTAGAGAGTCAGCCATTATCCATCTTTGCTGGGAGTTTTATGTGAAATCTGTTGGCACCTAACTTAAATTCTCTTCAGACTGTGAAGGACTGGATTCAGCTTGTGGGCTGGCTGCTGGTTGGCAAACTATTTGAATTAACACTTGTTTCAAGACAACAACAACAAAAAAACAATTCTATTTTCTTTGGTCAATAAAAGCTTAACTTCTGTTGGCAAGGCTCCTTACCATGTCTGAGGCACCCCTATTTGACCTCATAGATATTTGTATCCAGAGAAAAGAATCGCCTTTTCTGACACCCAGTGTTCTAAGCAGGTCATTCCCTATTGCTAAGAGATTAATGCTTAAAGATCTTTAAAGTGTCCAGTACTTTTTTAAGGCATCTAGAAACCAGAGATAGCTTCCTTTCATGGTCCTACTGGTCAGATAAATACGAAATGGTGCTAGAAAAATAAATGATTTATCACTGCTTTTCCAAAGAGGAAAGGCAAAACATTGGATTAAGCTTTGAACCCAACAATAAAAAAAGCAAGCCATCACAACTGCCAAGCAGGAGAATCCTGTGGGCTGGGAAAGTCAGCTTCAGACAACAAAGAGCAAGGGATTGAATCAGAGAAAAGGGATAATGCACTGTACTTGAGAAAAAGAACTTTTCTGTTTGTCGAGTCTCACGAAAGGCCCAAAGAACAGCAAAGCCAAAACTTTCTTCTGACCTCTATACTAGTCAAAGCCGTGGCAAAATGGATATAGGACAGTTTAATCCAGGTGGTCCCACCAATGGAGACTCGTCATCAAAAACTTCTAAACAGCTTCGAGTAAGTCCAAGCTGAAAATGCTTTCCAGAAGCAAAAAAACTGCAACTTCAACACCAAACACGCCAACAACTCCACTCTTGCCTCTCCTGGAAATCAGTTCCCCAAGTCGAGGCCCATCTTGGAATAAACAAGCCCCTAGCGCTTTACCCGCACGCCCTCCATAAGGAAAGGTCACTTTAAAGGACTTTACGGCAGGAACGGGTAGAATCCTCGGGAAGGCGCGAGGTTCGCCCTCAGAGGGGGCGGCGGGCCCCGACCAGGGAGGCGCTTTGGGGGAGGGTGAAGGCCCCAGCAAACGCGCGAGTCGCACGCCCTGCCCGCGGCCCTTCGCCCAGACGGGCTTCCCTTCCCTTCTCCCCCGAGAGCCCCGTGCTCGTCTCGTCGGGGACGGCGACCCAGACGGCCACGTGCGTGGCGGGGCGGGCGAGAGCTCAAACGCCACTTTGGGCCCTGGGCAGCTGGGCGGCCCCCGGGCCTGCACGGCGCCCGGCTTCGCCCCCGCGCGCACTACCAGGCCCACCGCACCCGCCGCCGCCCCTCCGAGTCCCCGCTCCGCCGAGGCCGCGGCCGGCCCGCTCCACCTAGACCCCCCCCTCCGACCCCCCAGAACGGGTAGGGACAGGAGCCGCGACCTGGTGAAGAGGACGCACAGCCTGGAAGTCCCATGGCAGCGGTCCCCAAGCCGCCCACACGGCAGCCGCGAGCCTCCGGCCTCACCTCTCTCGGGAGCTGCCGCCGCTGCTGCCTGGGCCCAGACGCCTCCTTCCCCACGCGGCCATCTTGGAGACACTCGGCTCGCCCCGGGCTGCCGCCGAGGCGGCTCGGAAGGGCGCGCAGGCCGAGGGGAAACGTAGTCCAGCGAGCGGCCTGGGCGAGGCAGACGACGGGGCACGGACTACAACACCCACAATGCTATGTGCCGGAAGTAGTCGCCGAGACGCGGGCGCGCAGCTGAGCGCGGGGCGGGTGCCACTGAAGGAGCTCGTCCCACCGTCGTAGCCTGCAAGTCGGGGTGCCCACCGCCTGGACGTCCTTGGGCTTGGAGAGCTAGTGGCTGAAGGAGAGGGGAAAGAAAGAGCCTACAACTCCCAGAGCGCCACGCGGGGAAGCCCGGGCCCGCTCCCAGTGCGCGCCCGTCGGCTCGCTCGTTCGACTTGCCCGCCCTCGCGGCCCGCCAGGCCTGGGCCTCGCCTCCCCTGCCCTTCAAGGCCGCCTAGTCCTGCTGAGGTCATCGCGGGGCGGAGGCGCCACTCAGCCCTCCTTGGAAGCAGTCCCTGGCTCCCTCCTCCCCCCAGTCATCTGGATTTGGGATACTTGGAAGACCTAGCCGACGCAGCCCCTGCTGCTTGGAGGTTCCTGTTTAGGGGTGCAGGCTGTAGGAGGAAATAGGCCAAAAGCAAAGAAGAGAATTAGCGATGACACTGTAAAGGAAATAGGCTTTCTTTGGTAGGGATTCAATCCCTTTCCAAGTCGCATTCTTACACAGCATCACTATCTTTGAGTGTCTTCGAGGGAATGGGTTGGACAGCCAGTCAGCACACTTGCCCAGTCCCTGCTTAGGACTTGTCATTTCCCTTTCAGGATACTGTTGTAAGTTGCTGCCACCTCCGATCTATGGACTACTTGGGGGAATCCTTACATGTTATGAACATCTCAGTCCCTCTTTTGCCTCCACAGGCAACATAATTACAGGAGCTAAAGTACCAGAAGCTTCCAGATCCAAAGTGAGTACTCCACTCTACTTTGGTGAACCCAACAAGGTAGAGCAGGAAGCCAGCAGGTAAAGTGGTGACTCACTGAGAAGCCCTCTACCATTTGCAGACAAAAATGTGGGCTTCTTGGAGTTCCCAGCAGTCCCTCCTCACCTGCAGACTGAGATCCTGCTCCCTAACGCAGTGTACAAGCCCTCTTTAGTTTAGTTGTTTTCTGACTCTGCAGCTGCAACTGTTTCCCTTCTCTGCCTGGAACTTGCCAACGCTGGCAAAATTCTGAGGAATTGTGGGTCCACAGATGTGTCATGCTTTGCTTTAAATGCCCTTCCCACCCAGTCACCTTTCAAGACTTTGGACCTGTCTGGTCTCTTAACAAGTTCCTGTTTTGTTTTGTCGATCCTGGGGCTTGAATTCTGGGCCTGGGCCCTGTCCCTGCGCTCTTCAGCTCAAGGCGAGCGCTCTACTGCATGAGCCACAGTGTCACTTCCAGTTTTCTAGTGGTTTATTGAGATAAGAGTCTCATGGATGTTCCTGCCCAGGCTGGCTTTGAACCTCGATCCTCAGATCTCAGCCTCCTGAGTAGCTAGGATTACAGGCGAAAGCCACTGGCGCCCTGCAAGTTCCTGGTTTTTTTTTTTTTTAATTTGTGTGTGTGTGTGTGTGTGTGTGTTGGTTGGTTGTGGGGCTTGAACTCTGGGCCTGGGCGCTGTCCCTCAGCTCTTCAGTTCAAGGTGAGTGCTCTACCACTTGAGCCACAGCACTATTTCTGGTTTTCTGGTGGTTTATTGAAGATAAAGAGATTCAGGGACTTTCCTGCCTGGCTTTGAACTGTGATTCTCAGATCTCAGACTCCTGAATGGCTAGAATTACAGGCATGAGCCTCTGGCACCCGCCTAAGTTCCTAGTTTTCAAGTTTCTTGGTTTCCAAATGTCAATATGTAGCACATGCTAGAAATCTCCTAATGACTGCCATGTTATCTTGTCACTACCTGTGCATGTATCTCTTTGTTGGACTGGGGTGGCAATGAAGAGGGAGTCCCAGGAATTCTAGAACACCAAGTGTTAAGCATGGTGCCACACTTCAGGGTAAGCTGCTTATGCACTTTTTCTGTGTCAGCTTCCTTTTTTTTTTTTTGTGACACGGTGGTTATATTCATACCTCTTTTCAGAGGACAGCTGGGAGTGTTTCATGAGATGACACATGCATTGAACCTAGAAAAGGACCAAGTCCACGGTAACAGTCACGACTGGTTGTTATGGGTTTCCCAGTGCCAGCCTATGTTTTGAGTTACCTCTTGATCTTAACCCTATGAAAGTGATACTGTTGTCAACCTTGTCATTTGCAAATGAGGAGAACAAGACAGCAAACATCTAAATGACTTACACAGAGGCCACTCTGCATAAGGAATACTGGAAGGATTTGAACCCAGGTCATCCAGTTGCAGAAATAATGCTACTGTGCCTCCGGAAGTTACTTTGTTTTTGTTTTTATTTTGTTTTTTGCCAGTTGTGGTGCCTGAACTCTGGGCCTGGACTCTGTCCCTCAGCTCTTCAGCTCAAGGTTAGCACTCTACCACTTGAGCTACAGCGCCACTTCTGGCTTTTTCTGCTTATGTGGTGCTGAGGAATCGAACCCAAGGTCTCATGCATGCAAGGCAAGCACTCTACCACTGAGCCACCTTCCCAGCCCTGGAAGTACTTTGGAAATATGTTGTCATTAATGACAAAGGTACCTGGTCACTGTGTAGTGCAGAGTAAATAAAAATGCTCAAACAGCTGTGGATCCAGGAGGTCCAGCTTTCCCTCCTATCCCCTTGACTTCTAGATGGCCATCTGCTTCCAACGTACTGAGAACCTCACAGCATGGTGTCTTGATCACTATTAGTACATAGACACTATTTGGAAGATTCCTGGGCAGGTTGACTCATTCAGCACATTACTTGAGTGCTTACTGAGGGTACTACCTAGCCATAGAAGTTGAGATTCCTGGGGGTGACTGCAGAGGTGCTCTCTGGATAGCTGACAGGTGGCAGCCAGTGGAAAGGGCATGTCCCTCTAACTGCTCATAAATAATAGACCATTTCTCTTCCCACACTTTTCACTCATTCATCATTAACAAATAATGGTGGGGGCAGACTGTGCCAGGCAGCTTTTTTTCCATGCACACAGGTATAACATTTAGCCAGACAAACATTGTTCCTGGGCTCAGGAACTTTACATTCCAACCAGATGAACAACTGAGTGAATGTGTACTTTCAGAGCAATAAATACCAAGAGGAAAAGAGACACTATGATGTAATGGGGTGACTGAGTTACAAAAGATGTCTTTTGATTGGTAACACTTGAACAGGATCTGAGTAAAGACAGAACATGTAGTTGTAGGGCTACACACAGAATGTTCCAAAGTGGGAATGTGTATGGATCATTCTACTTATAAGTGGAACACAGTGAAATAGAATAGGTATTTTAGACCTTTGGTTGTTAGTTCTTGTCTGTGAATTTCAGCTTTTTCAACTATAAAGTGGGGGCTATTTTATATTACAGTATCTAATTAGGAAAATATAGTCTAGGTATTTCAAACAGAAAGAAGTGAATCCAGGGTATTGTTGACAAAGTTGTTGGAAAGATAGGAAAAGCAGGAGCAGAAGGAAACTCAGAGACAAACAACTAGAGTTAGCTGTTTCCTCCAGCTAAAGTTTAAAAAAGAGAATGGAAAACTCCAGCTAAAGTTAAAAAAAGAGAATGGAAAACTGTTTTCAAAAGCCAGGTTCCTGAGCTGCCAAACAGGAACCCTTACCAAGGTGTTACTGACAGGCAGCTTATGTAAGGTCTAGAGAATGGCATTAATGACTTGTCCCTTTCATTTTTAACATCCCGCCAAGGCCTCTCATTGGCAGAAACAATTGACAAGGGCATCTGGGAAATGTAGTTTGCAGCTGTACCCGTGACAAGTGATCACACGTAGATCTGTAGAAAGGTGAGTGTGGGATGAAGACTGCAGACACCATTGGCACTGCCCGTCTCACAGAACTGTTAGAGAAGCAGAAACGTTATGCTCAATAAATTGTACTTATTTTAGCTTTGTAGGGAAAGGAGAATCTTCCAGAAACATATTTTTGGTATAGTATTTCTACAGAAGGCTTCAAATTTTCAACTAAAAGCAACAAAAATGAGTTTCAAAAATACAATTTTAAGGGCTGGGAAGGTGGCTCAGTGGTAGAGCGCTTGCCTTGCATGCATGAGGCCCTGGGTTCGATTCCTCAGCACCACATAAGCAGAAAAAAAAGCCAGAAGTGGTACTGTGGCTCAAGTGGTAGTTGCTAGCCTTGAGCTGAAGAGCTGAGGGACAGAGCCCAGGCCCAGAGTTCAGATCCCACGACCAGACCCTCCCCCCCCCAAAAAAAATAGAATTTTAAGCCAGGCACCAGTGGCTCACACCTGTAATCTTAGCTACTCAGGAGGCTGAGATATTAGGATTGTGGTTCAAAGCCTGCCTGGGCAGGAAAGTCCATGAGACTCTTATCTCCAATAAACCACTAGAAAACTGGAAGTTGCACTATTGCTCAAGAGGTAGAGCACTTGCCTTGAGCTGAAGAGTGCAGGGACAGTGCCTAGGCCCAGAGTTCAAGCCCCACCACCAATTAAAAAAAAAGTGTGTGTGTGGGGGGGGTGCACTGGGTACCAGTGGCTCACACCTATAATCCTAGCTACTCAGTAGTCTGAGATCTAAGGATCATAGTTTGAAGCCAGCTGAGACAGGAAAAGTCCATGAAATTCTTATCTCCAATTAGACACCAAAACAACAAAACAAGGGCTGGGAAAGTGGCTCAGTGGTTAGAGTGCTTGCCTTGCATGCATGAGGCCCTGGGTTCGATTCCTCAGCCAGAAGTGGCGCTATGGCTTGAGCATTAATCTTGAGGTGAAGTGGTGAGGAACAGCACCCAGGCCCAGCATTCAGGCTCCATGACCGGCCAAAAACAAAACAAAACAAAAACCCAGAAATAGAGCTTTGGCTCAAGTGGTAGAGTACTAGCCTTGAGCACAAAAGCTCAAGAATGGCATCCAGGGGGCTGAGAAGGTGGCTCGGT